GAACTTTTTGTTTTTAATATCTGGTTAGACCTGACGGATGATTTAATGTTGAACTTTATCTAATGAAGTTATTTCTTTTGATAAAAAAAAAATTACTCGGAATTATTGTGTAAATGGTGTATGGATAAGTAACGAGGGGTTTATTGAGAAAAAATTGAATGATCCTTTGACATAACACTTGTTAAAGAACTTAGGTGAATCACAAGTAGAAACTTTTAACACGTAATAAATTTCAACTCGACAATGTATGTTGCTCATCTTGTCACGTGACATAGAAGTTTTCACCTAAAAGTTCTTCTCAAGATTTTATTCTTTACATAATGGCTAACAAAGGTATAAAGAAAAGAAGGGAAAAATGTTATTCCCTAGTAGCAAATAGCAATAGCCAAGAAAAAAGGCAGACAAAAAGGGGTTGGAAATGGTTGTTATCTTTTCAAAATGTAAGAGTATGTATGCAATCTATTATCATAATTAAAGAGTATATTGTTGTAGGGAAGGTGGGGCACAAATATAGGTGTGATTTCTTCACCATCACTATTCCTACATTTTGAGTTGAGATTGTTATCAACCCACATGATACATGCTAGCCTTGGCATGCCATAAATTGCACTTTAAGATACCAATAATACTTCTTGGAAAGATGCTTTTGCCTTCATTTCTAAGTAAGTCCTTTCATTACTAGTACTAGTCACATTTTACTCTCTCTCCTTGCATTTTCTCTTCCTACAAGTAAAAAAAAAAAAAAATTCGAGCAAATCGCAGTATCTTATGTACACAAAAACAACTCGTTATAAGCACAAAAGAAAAGGATTGTGCACTGAAACTATTAGGGACGGATGGAAATAGGAACCAAGGTAGTCCCAGGACCACCTGAGTTTGGAAAACATACACGTTTCGGTCTTCCGAGGACCCTCTAAATGTTATATTGAAATTTTTTTGTATTTTTATAAAAACTTGTTGAGAATTTTGAAATTATTTTAACATCTCTTGAAATTTAAAATTGATTTCCCAAAACTCCGTCTTTAAAATTTCATCCAAAAATTTATCATATCATAGAAAGTTATTGACATGATAATTTTACCCTTAGAGGTAATAACACGGCCTACTCAATATTTGATGTAATGTATGTTAGATATATCCCGACATGTTGCTTCAACATCACTCGACAAGTTCTTTGTATATCACTTATTAGATTGCTTCAGCATATTCTAATATTTGTTAACACGTGCACAACAAGCCAACTAAGTGAATAAACTGATTTTTTTCTGTTTGCGTTTTGCGCTTTATTCCTATCTAAAAAACTTGTGTTTAACAATGAGACCCTAAGATTCAAATCTTGGATCCACTTCTGGAACCGTAATGTGTCTTAAAAAGAATGTGTTCGTTTAAGTAAGAGCAAAGTATACTTCGAACAATTTGGCATAAGAATGAAAATGATAAACCTATGACGAGGTTGAAATACGCATCTACCATAATATGTATCATTTGTGTCTATTTCACTTCTCAGTTTTCACGCGAGTCCGTGTGTCATGATAACGATAAGGATAGAAAAGCTTCTTTGCCACATCAATGTGCAATTGCATATAAAAGCGTTGAACAATCACACATGACAATCACAATCTGCTTAAGATTGAATTTTAAGCTCGCCTACCACAAAATCGAAAATTTAAATAAATATGTGAAACAATATATATTTTTTTTCTTTTAACAATCGATATCATCTACACTAAATACAGGGAGTGGGTTTAGCCTCACAATGAGCTAGCAATAATATGGTTCAAATTCGTCTTTGGCGATAATTGAATATAAGACCTCTCACTTATAAGTGAAGAAAAATACCAATAGATTGTAGTACTAAATGATTGTAGAAAAATGCTTTGAAATACAAATTACAATCATTATGTATTTATATGACCCAACACAATTATGATAAACTAAATAATCCAAGGAAAAAAGACATTAAAATTAAAACATTGGACAAGGTTGTAGAGGAACATTAAAATTAAAATATTGGACCACTCTCCCTTTGAAATTCTTTAATTTGTTAGTTTTATTATTTTTGTTTATTTTTGTAATATGTTAATAGAAGATAGATAGAGACCTGATCTTTTTTTTTTTTTTTTTTTTTTTGTTACAAGTGACCACTGACCACATTGGCACATTACATGTACCAATTGCTTTCACTCTTAGGACAAATTTTGGTACATGATGTGATGTAAATGACGCGTGATATGTTGATTTAACTACAATTTTACTCAAATTATAATATATAGAACAAATTTTAGGCTTACAATTCTCTGTGTTTGAAGTTTAATAATTAGTAATTGTATAAATTATATAGTTTGGGTGAAATTTGTAATATCTAGGCAAGAATATGACATAGTGTTAGGAAACTCACGATTTCATTGAAAATTCCGATGGAGTCAATATGAAGAATTGTAGAGAAACTCCCATGGTTGATTCAATTATTGTAGTGATTGATTGCAGATTACTCTATGTAATTGTTACCGTAACTCTCCCTTTTATGAGAAAATTGCAATTTCTCATCCCAAAATTTGCATATTTTAAGCGAAATTTCACACTGTTTTTTTTTTTTGTCGTCATATTATTCTTTAATTTTGTCGTTAAGACATTGTGAGATGTCGAGTGCAATAAAAATAATTTCATTTTTTTTGCTTTTCGGGGCTAGAGCATCTCCTCAATTGAAGATGCAAATTGCCTTGGAATGGCATTTCACATTTTTTGTTGGTGGGAAAGCTCTCTAGTGGGAGATATTTCTCAATTTTCCTTGAACACGGGTGATACACCACGTAAGGTGATTAAAAGAAGAGTTGGTGGCTATTTGGAATGTTAATAATAACCTTGAAGAAAAACATACAGGATAATAGGTGATTAAAAGTACGTGAGGCGTGGTGAAAACACTACACTGGACATATGAATAATGATCCATGCAGGGTCATTCAATTTATTAGCAAAAGCAACCATGTGGATACATGGTCATATCAATCCATCACATTATACAAGCACAGTCTCTACACAGATTACATTTCTTTTTAACAAATTAATTAGCACTTTTTGGTGCACACGCATTTACGGGTGAGGAGACTACATTTACCTCTGGTGAATTGCTCCTTTCTACAGGTGTGTTTACAGTTGTTAGACGAAAAGCACAACCCCTTGAACAGTGTGCTCGGAAACTCACAGATCTTTCCCTCAACTGCCTTGCTTGACTCAGTCCTTGCCTCAACACCCATTGGCCCCATCTCTAAAGATCAAATTTTTTTGTTGAATAAGATGCTTTAATCGAAACATCATAAAAAATTAATTATTAAAAAGAGGTATAATTACCGGTAGCGGCCAAAAGCAGGACAAGAACGAAGGCAGCTGAAACAAGACGCATTGAACGCTCCATTTGAATCTATGTGTATGTGAGTGTGTGCTTGATCTGTGTGTTTCTGTGTGTGTGCTTGTGTATGATAAGAGAGATCTCAGACGCTGATGCAAAGAACAATAACCATGCAAAGCTTATTATATAGGGATCTAGTGCATATTAATGAGAATCAGTCTCCGTAAAGCGGGGTAGCTCCATACCCAAAATATAAAGTTGAAATTTCCAACTTAAGAGACACCATAAACCAAATTCCTATTTTTGTTGACTGAGTTCTCCGCCATACATTTTCTATGCACATTAAGGTTTCTTTTTCAAGCACATTTAATTTTTGCTTTTAAAAGAATATTTAAGTTTTAAGCACATTTGACTTATTATTCATATTTTATATGTAAATGAAGCGGCATGTATATATATCTCACATAAAATACCATAGTTCTTATAACAATATATTACTGCATTAAGATATTGTGAGATGTCGAGTGCAATAAAATTGTTTTTAATTAATTCTATTCAAATCTAGAAAATAAACATAGGCGTCAAAGGATTTGGTTTATTTTGCAGTTAGGAGCCAAGAACATCTCCAATGAAAGATGTAAATTGCTTTGGAACGGGCATTTTACATTTTTTTGTTGGTCGGAAAGCTCTCTAGTGGGAGAGATTTTTTAGTGTACCTAAAATACGAAGTGGTACACTATGTGTTACTATACAACTGGTGAGATACTTGTGTTAAAAAATTAACAACTTGAAAAATAAAACTCCCTCCACTTATAAAATGATACATGGTGTACCACTCGCGTTCTCGACACAACGAAAATTTTCTCTTATAATGGGAGAGGTGGTTAACACCCATCTTGACTAGAAGATGTAAATAAAAATTCATATATCTTTTGGAGGTGAATTCCGCCAAATGAGACCAAATTTGCATATCTCCCGTTAGAGTTTGACAAATGTAAAAATGAAATGTAAGTATAATTTTTACATTTGCATCTTTGATGCCTTAAGGCTCCGTTTGGTAGGCTGGATGGGATAGGTTGTGGCCAATTAAAATGGACTTGAGTTTAGTCCGTTCTTTGTTGTGTCAAAATGTGAGAGGGACAGCCACTTAGTACTACGATATAGTGATATCTTTCTTCACTTCTAAGTGAAAAATCTTAGGTTCGATTATTGCCAAAGGCGACTTTAAACCACACTATTATTAAGTCATTGTGAGGCTAAGCATCCCCTCTCTCTTACTCGAGATAATATTGTTTGTTAAAAAAAAAAAAAAAAACGTGAGATGAACATAATTGAACATGATAAGTTATGAATTCACAATAGAATGGATTGCATAATCCATCTTTATACATAGGTTATAAGTCTCTATTAATCCTACCCTAGCCCTAGCTAAGGCGCAATGCCATCCAACACAACAACCGGACCCTAAAAACCTGTTTATAATTAGCCTCAATGAATCAAAATCCCAAGTGAGCAAACAGAGAGTAAAAAATGTCATCCACACCATCTCCAACCCAAATATAGAGACAACTCCCACACAAAAATGCGCCCCCACCCCCCACAAAAAAATGGGGGCAAAAATTTAGAGGTGTTTCTATCCAATCAAATGTTAAACTTCCATCTTTAAATTTGGGTAAACGACCCTTCTCCTTCCTCCATTAAACTGATCTTTGAATTTTAACAGCCTAAAAACAAACAAACGAACAAACTAAAAAACCATAATGTTTGAAATTTCTTTCTTTTGATTCAAAACAACAAACAATCTCTGAATTGTTTGCAAAAATGAAGCCCCAAAACTATCAACTGAAAAATAAAACCAAAACAAGCTATCTTTTGTAGGAAACCACCATCAGATTAACCGATTTTAATTAAATTTATACACTTGTTTTGTCTTGTTTGATCTCCATTAAATATTGCAGTTCTTTGTCATCTGTTCTCCATCTCTCTCTCTCCTCCCCTCTTTCTCTCTCTAAACCGGGATTAAACAAAAATCATTACCCAAATCAAAATCTTTGAACTTTATTTTTTACTCTTTCTGCATAAAAGAAGAGAAACTGCTGCCACCGCCACCAACCCATCTCTCCAAGAAACCAGAAATTCCTCCTTTACCAAATCACAACATGGAAAGGAGCTGAAAGGAGCTTACTTTTTCTTATCTGCAACCGCCGCCGCCGCCATATTCAGAAGAAATCTCGACGACTCGAGTTCGTCGAACCCTGAAGAGGACCTGAATCCCAAGCTTCCCGGCCGAAATTCAGTAATCCGAGACCTGGGTTTTGCTCGCATTCGCCATTGAAGATGACCCATCTCGACAACAGTCCGCCGACGCCCGGAAAGTTCAAGATGGACAAGTCGCCGTACATTCACCGCCTCCGTTGGCACGGCTCGCTCGCCAAGCTCACGTTCTGGTCCTTCGTCTTCCTCGGCATGATATTGATCTTCTTCTTCCGCTCGCCGTCCTCTAATTCTCTGCCATCCGATCCCTCCCGCCGCTCTCTCAGAACCTACAACTGGGGCGGACCCGCCTGGGAAAAACGGGTTAGGTCATCCGCCAGAGTCCGTTCCCGCCACGGAATCTCGGTCCTCGTCACCGGCGCGGCGGGCTTTGTCGGGACTCACGTGTCGGCGGCGCTCAAACGCCGCGGAGACGGGGTCCTTGGTCTGGATTGCTTCAATGACTACTACGACCCTTCGTTGAAGAGAGCTCGGCAAGCGCTTTTGGAGCGGAGTGGGGTGTTCATTGTGGAAGGCGACATAAACGACGCCACTTTGCTGAGCAAGCTCTTCGAGGTGGTGGCGTTCACCCATGTGATGCATTTGGCAGCCCAAGCCGGTGTGAGGTATGCCATGGAAAACCCAGGCTCATATGTTCATAGTAATATAGCTGGTCTTGTTAATCTTCTTGAAGTTTGTAAAAATGCAAATCCACAACCTGCAATTGTTTGGGCAAGTTCTAGTTCTGTTTATGGTTTGAATACTAAGGTACCCTTTTCGGAAAGAGACCGGACTGACCAGCCGGCTAGTCTCTATGCCGCTACCAAGAAAGCCGGTGAGGAAATTGCGCACACTTACAACCATATCTATGGCCTTTCCCTTACCGGGTTGCGGTTCTTTACTGTTTATGGCCCCTGGGGAAGGCCTGATATGGCATACTTCTTTTTCACGAGGGATATATTGAAGGGGAAAACTATTCCAATCTTTGAGGCGGCTAATCATGGAACCGTTGCGAGGGATTTTACCTACATTGATGATATTGTGAAGGGATGCTTGGCGTCATTGGATACCGCTGAGAAGAGTACTGGGAGTGGGGGAAAGAAGAAGGGGCCTGCCCAATTGCGGGTTTTCAATTTGGGGAACACATCGCCTGTGCCAGTTACAGATCTTGTGACCATTTTGGAGAGGCTTTTGAAGGTAAAGGCTAAGAGAAATATAATGAAGTTGCCGCGTAATGGGGATGTTCAGTTTACGCACGCAAACATCAGTTCGGCTCAGAGGGAACTTGGGTATAAGCCCACAACAGATCTGCAGACAGGGCTGAAGAAATTTGTTCGGTGGTACCTCAGTTACTACTCTGGTGGGAAGAAGGCTTCTGGATGATAAAATTCTTTTGATTGTGTGGTGGACCCCTTTGAATTCTTGTTCATTATAATTCATATGATTGTTTTTAACATTTCTGTCATTGCCCCTGTATCGTTTTTCCATATATCATAATGATGTAATGCCATATGAGGAGGAACCTTGTGAACTACGGTGAAGAAGTTTTGTGGCTAGGGGACATTGTTTTCTAAGCACTCGCATGCTGTATTGAGCGAAAACGAGGACCATCTCTTTATTTTTTTCTTGGAATGTAATTGTTGGAGCTACGGCGTTGTAGAATTCATGACTGATAGAATATATGCTAATTGGTGAACGTGTATTATTGCCATGCAATCAATAAAATACCACAGGATAGTTTGGTTCCTTACTGCTATATGAAGTGAATCACAGTTTGTTTTTGTGTAATAACTTATTAGTATTTCATAAAATGCATTGTGTAGAATTGATATCCGTCAAATTCTTCTGCTGCAGTTTTATGGTTAATTTTGCAGCTCCCTGCCATCTGACCATTTAGAACCAGCTTAAGTGCGTCACGCAGCTCAACGGCAAGACTAACCCTGCATGCCGTTTTGTTGCTTAGAGTCAATGACTGATCATTCTTGCATATCAGGTTCGCTTTTCAGTTTTCTTTGACTTTCTGGTTTATATTGTCATTAATACACATGACAAGCGAGGTGCTCAAGTTATATGTTCTGCCGGGCTTTACATTCCATGTTTGAATCTTCAAGGAATGAATGAAAAATCATAACACAAATTTTTATATGAATCTCTCTAGCATTTTGTTTTCTCCCCTTTTCGGGTCCTTATTAACTGTTTGGTTTTCTTCTTTTGTTGAAAGACGATGAATATAGAAGTACTTAATAAAGCGGAAACTGAAAAACTTGTAGACATGTATTCATATATCTTCCTTTTGTTGTCAATTTCTGTTGTTACAGACTTTACCTGTCCGCTTTTTGCTCCTTCCTCCGATTTTGAAAGACCTGCTTGTCTTTATACGTATTTTAAAACTTAAAACTATCTCAAGTGACTCTTTCATCTTTTATGACACATTTCCTTGTGCATGATATAGTTTTGGAACACTGTAGATTGTCTTTGTTTAGTAAGTGAATTATGACATAGATGACGATTTCATAAGTAGAATTTATTCCGGTATGCAGGTAGCGTAAGTAAAGATTGATAGCATTTGCATAAGTAGAATGTATAACAGCAGTGCTCTGGTAGAAACTAGTTGATTTGCTTTTCATGACAATTCATTTATTTCCTGTAATCATTCTCATGCCCTGCCAAATTAACTTCTACACGAAGGCAAGAATACTCTTTAAATGCTTGGGGAAGAATGCATTCTGTTATAAACTTTTAGTTTGTGTCTTGGCTAATAAGTTGCAGGAACATTGAATCGTTAAGATTATTTTGCAAGAAGTTCGAGAAAGGTAATATTCTTTTCTCAGATATCTGGCACGTTATGTTATCTACACTGTTAATCGGAGCACAAATTCAACAAGAAACTGTAATTCATAGTCCAGATTGACAGTACGGCAACATAACATACGTTAGGTAAGAAAAAAATCATCAAGCTTTGGCGGAGCATGCAGAAAGGAAAAAGTGGGAAAGCGTCAAGCATACAGTTGTCTTCGGTCTTGTCCTGGATCATTTGACAAGTAGAACGGAACAAGCTGGGAAAGCTTCAAAGTGTAAGGAGTTTTCTTCTATGCCGATTTGACGTATGTTTTATTTGTGGTGTTAGTTTGTTTTGCATCTTAGACGTTTATTGCCTGTCATTATGTGTTCTTTGGAGTGGGGCCGTCCTCCTTAACAACTAAATTATTTGATGCGCCTCAATATTGGCTTCCTATTTGGACACTTCTGAGAAATTGTGTTTGGTGTATGCCTGATTTAACTTGTCATAAATGCGTCCGTAGACGGTATTGAATAATTGATTGTTAGGAATAATGTTCTAAAAATCCCTGCCTAGGCGCCAAGCGGCTGGTCATTACCACGATTAATCCCTAGTGTTTGAAAACTAAAAAATGACGTCTAGACCTACTTAGGCGTCCTCTTAGCCCACCTAGGTGCCTGACTAGACTGCCTAGACCCACCTAGGCACTTGTTTAAGTTGTGATTCTCACTTAGGCTCATGCCCGCCTAAGCGCTAGGTTCTAACCCACCATCCGACTAGCGCCTAACGTTTTCTAGAACCTTGGTTAGGAGACAAACAATACTTAAGACGACTGCCGCTAACATAATTCGTGGCATGGCATTAGTCTGTCTTTCTATTTATTCAAAACCAAAAGAAGCCTAGTAATTTCGTGTCCTTTTTCCCGTGGTATGAATTATCAAAACCAGATTGAACTGTACAGTCAATTTTCTCATCAACCAAACAGAAGGTCTCTCTGTTTCCTAAAAAAAAAAAAAAAAAGAAAACTAATGAAAAGGGCTTGAAAACTTTGAGTTTTAACGATAAGGACAAAATAAAGGGTAAAGTGAATAGTATTAAGATTGACTTTTTAGTGTGAAAATATGGTTTTTCGTTAAAGTGAACAGTACCGTTTGCTTTTCGTTAAAACTTCCAAAAAAAAATGGGGAGATAAATGATATCATTGTTTGTTTGTTGACGATGATCTTGCCAAACTGAACTTTGATTTTTCTCACCAAGGAAATCACAGGAGAGCAAATTAGCCGTCTCAATATAGTAAAAGCAATATTATTTTGGGAAATTATTATTGGCACGTCCACTTCTGGTTCAAGATTGCAAGTTAGTGACTCGTTTCTGCTCACTCAACTCAAGCATATGTCATTAAACTAAAAGCCTATTAAGATAGAATTGAATAATATTAGAGACGGTAAATAGAGACACTTTTAGCGATGAATAATATTATTCCAAAATAAAATATGAGAATTCCAGTAGGCATTTGTTAGAGATGACTGCTTGGATAGTATAGCTCCCTAGTTTCAAAGCATACTGAAAAAAATGGATGATAACTCTAAAATATTGTCTAATTGAAAGCATATGATGAAATAGTTAGGAAGAGAAATACTATATCTTCTACTTTCAAACCTATACGGTGCTTGGAACTTATCCTCTATTTCTTTCTTTAATATACATTATTCTATGTTAGTGTAGCAGTGAGTGTGAGTAAAATAATGAGTAAGAGTATGCTAGATTCAGGAAAACCTGTTAATAATAAAAAAAAATTACAGCACAAAAGGATACTAAAAATCAACCAAACCAACACGTGAGCTTGAAAATTACAGTCAAACCAATTAAAAAAAAAAAGCCTTAATTGATTGTTAGTTAAAAATTATTACAATGAACTTAACCAGGCTACTACAAAACAAAAGCAAATGGCAGACTTGCTGATGATGAATGAGTAATCCCACATCGACGAGGAACTGGACGAATCCTCAGAAGAAAGGCGTATAAAACCAGACCCTTTCCGTACGGACAACGCACGCAGCAGCACGGCTGTGTTGCACGCCCGCCTGTGTTGCACGCGCCAACAAAACAGACCGGCTCCTGGGTTTGTTCATTTTGGGCTGGGCTGTTGACTGGCACAGGCTGGGTGCCAGTCAATTGTGCGGGCTGGAGCTCTTTCCTTGCAAGTCGGGCTATTTTCTTCACTAGGTGTCAGTCAAACCCGTTGGGCTGGAGTTGCTCTAAAGAATGCTGTGTGTTCGCCACATTAAGCAGCGTACGCCAATTTTTTTTTTAGGGATTTGTCGTACAAGAGAAGCCCTACGATCTCAGTTCAACTCTATGGTTCTCCTTCACAAGTTTTCGATTCTATCTGCACTATGAAATAATGAAAGTGCCAAGTGTCTTCTTTTTGTTTAACGAATTTAGTGACGTGGATACTAGAAACACCATTAATTTTTCTTATAAGGACTATATAAAATAAAGCTTCTTGATATTGACGAGACTTGTTGGAAACATTTAATAAGTTAGCAATTTGGTTTATTTTTATGTTACGCTATTTTTCATATGTTATGCACGAGCGATTTGTAGTGGGATGGATTAGGGTTATGATTCTTTTTCTATTAGGGCCATAACCCTTAGGTTTTCATAATACTCGTCTCGCGACACATTATAATTAAGTTTGATAAGTTGTAATCTTTTTGAGTTATGTATAGGATGTAGCCTTTTTGAAATTTTGTAGTGTTGTTCTTTATTTTTGTCTATAACTAAGATTTAGAGTTGCAATTTCTATTCAAAGAAGGAATTTCGCACTCAAAATCAAGTATTTAGCGATAAATTGTAGCAAAGTGAAATATTGCTTCATTATGATATGGTCTTTGTCCGGCCAACTTTATGTAAAATAATTAAGAAAGAGTAAATATTACAATTTAGGCGAATGATGTGACTAGTACAAGGGCCGCGTTGAGGGTGTGCAAAGGGTGCACTAACACAGAGCCCCTAATTTACGAGAGTTTCCCAAAACAATTTCATCCTCCCCTATATATTACATTGAGAATTAACTTGGCTTCTCAATGAATTAAGATGAGTTCCTCCTTAATTCACTATGTAGCTAATTCACGGAACTTCATGCTTATGATCAAAACCGTTCACATTATAAATCATTGTGAAGATCATCTTTGCAAAAAAATAAATTAAATATGAAATCGTTTGATCATTGAATTGTATTAAAACAGATAGACGGATTCGTTGAATAAATTACGAACCGTCTATCTATTTGCTACAATTAATTGACTAAGCAACCTTAGTTTTAATTGATTTTTTTTTGTAGAGATGATATTTACATAGAAATTTATAACATGAACGGTTTCAGTTAGAATCTCGAAGTCATGTGATTCTTCATCCTTCAACTTGGCTAGTAGTAATGATATGGCTGTTGAACTTAATGCCCTTTAGCATGTGATGTGATTAAATGGAGAAATGCTACTACCTCAAATCTCAACTTTAAACGTCATTAGTTAGCAAGCAAATCCCAGCATACAAAACAGTCCCTGCGAGAATGCGCCTACAAAAGAAGAGATCGTCGAAATTTGCAAACCAAGCAGCCGGGTGGTGAGTACAGAACGAACTTTTCTTTCACTTTTTACTAAAGAATACCGTGTGCGCACCACATTAAGTGGCATGTGCCAATTTTTTGGAGGGTCTCTCACAAAAGAAGCCCTACAATTTGGTACAACATAATGGTTCTCTTTGCGAAAGCTTAACTACATTTCTAGCAACTTTGCAATATACATATTAACTACATTTGATAACTTAGATTCCTCACCTGAAACAACCATTGAATGGGTCGAAAAGGGAGAGGAAAACTCGAATGCTCGTGCCTTTCTGGATCCATGTTCAAAGAGGTGCCTGCCTTCTGTGAGGCCGTAATTCTATTTCCTCGAAGTACTTGACTGTAACAACGTTGTTGAAACCTACAGTCAAGATCATCTTGTTGTCTACGATGTACATAACTTCATCCCCTCCGTAATGAATGTTAAACAAAAAAGAACCTACCAAAGTAGGCTTAAACAAGTCCTGTGTGTTTCTTGCACTACCATGATATAGAAGTGATAATCCGCACTGCAAGCTTCTAAGAGAGTAGATGTGATTCTTCCACTAAATTCTTCATCTGAAAGGCTATCTATCCAAACAGTAGAGACGCGTAAAGTAGATTCTATTTCCTTTTGATTCCATTCGGATGAGCAACTTGGAGTAACTCAAAGAGATTCTCTGCGTACTCCTTTTCTTGTACACCAAGCGATGCAGGTTTGACATCCGCAAGAATCAAAGAAGCACCAAGATGAGATGAGGTAATGGAGCCTCCAATTTAAACTGATTCATGATCCTGACCAACAACTTTATTTGAAGCACTAAAAAACTTTATGAATGTAGGGGAAACAAAAAAAAAAAAAAGAATATGATCGGGACTACAGAAGGATATGGGAACCAGGTTTAAAGCACGTTGTGTAGAAAAATTCTGCTCATATATTACCTTAATATGATGATAAAATCACAATTGAAATCCAGGAACTGTTCACTGGTTTACTATTTCTGCATATGGAAGTAGAAATCTGTGACATCCTCCAAATCATAAGCAGCATCTCTAATCTCTGCAACCCAAATGCGAATTGTTTCCTCGTCTTGTTGTCTTGCATCTGCATCTCTTCGGGATCCCTGCACTAACTAGAGTTGAGTTTGAGCAATCTTCACTTTATCTCTGATTCCACACGAGAATCTCCCGTCCTGAATGATAAATCCTCCTAAGATTTGCACCGCATAGGACACGACGCCTCAACCATATCTCTCTCTGCCAAAATGTAAACAACTCAAAACGATCGAGTTTCCTTTTTCCTTTTCTCTTCCTTCTACTCGACATTATTGGAATCACACTCAAAACCCCAATGAGGATAAAAACTAAAAGTGAAACGAAACCTAAAAGTTGAGATAAAAACCGCTAAGATCATTACTCATACTCATAACATATGCTTGTTTACTTGCACTTGGTTGATCGTGCGCTTATGTCTAAAACTAAGTTGTCTTTTTTTCTCGATCAAGATTACTTGAAGCTTGATGATCCTAATGTAATTGGCTACTGTTGTCTCCAATTAGATTACACTTTAAGTATGTTTAGTGGTAATGTTTTGAAAGTTGTACTTGAGTCAAGTTTTCTTTCTGAATTGCAAGCAAAACTTCGACAAACTCCTTTCAATTCGTCATGATATCCAGTCTTTGAACTAGAAAGTCATCAAACTGCTTAGTCACCTTGTCTATCTTGGCCTCCAAACCATTGAAATGGCTCAACCAAGAAAGCCACGGGATATATAGTCCCCGATATTGATTATTCCCAGTAACTCTACATACTTCCCCAAAAGCTCCTTAAATGTCCTCCCGCCTTCTCCACCATCGCACTTCCTCTCAAAAGCCGTTCGACATACCACATCATTAGTAAGTCTAATAAACATTTCGCTTAAATTCAAAACTGATTACGACGATTGCTTCATGTTGCTGACCATAGATTTTGTTTCCTCTTCTCTCACAGAACGAAAAGACACATATGCTTTTAATATTCCTCAATTACTCACCATAAGGAGAAATGCAACCCCGGTGCAGTTGTATTTAGTAGTTTCTTTACGATGGTGGACTTTGGTCGACCAGAAAATGTGAGGTCATGGATTTTCATGATCTCACGGGCAGCCTAGCTGAAGAGACAACAAGGATGGGGACACTTCCAAAGTGTAGAAGCATGAGAGGGCCATGACGTTGAAATAAAGCTTGAAACGAGCGGTAAGGGTAAAACCCTAGTTGGTGCAAGTTTCCGATGATAGGGAGCTTGGGTGGAGAAGGCGGTGACGGGGTTTTGTTTGTGGTTGTGGCGGAGGAGTAATCCACATGTATAGAAGGATGAGGAAAATAGCCAGCAGTGTGAAGGCCAAAGGCTGCAGAGAGGAGGAGGTTACATTCACCAGCGTCTATCTAGGAAAAGAAATTGTGTGGTACGTGTGTGCTTCGTTTGTGTGTATATTTGTAAGTTTTCAAATTGGTGACTGCTACACATGACAAGCTAAAATATCTTGGTCTAAAATAATAATGATATGGCTGTTAATCTTGATGTCCTTTAGCATGTGATGTGATTATATGTAAATGGAGAAATGTGAAAACGTCATTAATTAGCAAGGAATCCCACATCGGAGGATGCAAAACAGTCTCTGCGAGAATGCGCATACAAGAGGAGAGAATGTCAACTATGGCAATCACGCAGCCATGCGGTGAGCACAAAGCGAACTATTCTTTCGCCTTTTACTAAAGAATACCGTGTGTGCACCGCATTCAGTGGCATACGCCAATTTTTTAAAGGGATTTCTCTTACAAGGGAAGCCCTGCAAATTTCAGTTACTTAAAGTTTTATGTTCGGAACGTTCCTTGCAGATTACAAATGAAGAGATTCATGGCTTGTTTGATTTGTTTTTGGAGGTTAGACAATCAAATTCTAACGTTGTTCTGCTCGAAATTTAGGGTTAGGTTTCGTTTTTAGTTTTTGCTTTTCAATTTTGTGCTTGAGATACGAGGTAAATGATGTGGGAGAGCAGGGCCAAGCTAGAACGTTAGTTCACGGGGCACAATTAAGTAGATGAGGATGCAGAACTCCATCCTCATTGCATCCAACAATAGTGTGCACAATGCCAAAAAAAAAAAAAAAAAAAATTCCAGTTTTTCGGTGAGACACTTTGTCGAGCACTTAGCCAACCCATATCATTGTATGCTTAAAGTACATCCCTGCTCTTTAATATTCTTTTATTTGTGTCTTTATGTCAATATTGTTATAGTTAATAAAATAACATGCATAGAGCCGTGAGCTCCAATTTATGAGACGATTGGGAGGAGAGAGGATTAATGAGCCTTTATTACCCTTCAGCTTTTTTTCAAAAACAGTGTCGTGAGTTGCAATAATCAACTCTAGTATCCCACCATGTGTCATTCACTCTTTTTCATACCTCATTCCTTTGCGTTCCCTCTATCTATAAAACTAAAAAATTAAAAATAAAAAATGAAATGGTTATCAAGGACATTCAAATACTTATTGGTCATGAAAATAGTTTTTAGTGCTTTTTGGATAAATATTTTATGGTGGAGCACATCTTCATGAAACACTTTCAAGTGTTTTTCATGAAGCGTATTTTTAAGAAAATTTTTAACATGCTACTAATAAAAGTACTTGTCACAAAATGTCTATAGCCAGAAGTGCTTCTTGCATAATCCATTCCAAATGTGGAGTCAATTGTCACCTATTATTTGCTCTGTCGAAACCTTGTTCTTCATGTTCTGTGTTGTTTTGATGTCCACCTATTTACACTTCAAATGAGAACCTTAAAATGTTTAAAGGGTTATCCTAAAATGTTAGTGTGCTATTAAGGTATTGGATAATTGAAGATCCAGTAAAATTTGAAATCATTAGATCTAAAGGGAACGTTAGTAATGGGATTTTGAGGTAAAGCCAAATCGGCAACACTTTGTTGTTGTTTCTCAGAATCCCACATGGGACAGAAGCAAAACCATCACGATGGGAACTGATATAAAAATAGAGGAAATGGAAAATTTAGCATCCATGCAGCCATGCGGTGAGCGCAGAGCGAACTATTCTTTCGCCTTTTACTAAAGAATACCGTGTGCTCGCCTCAAATAATGGCATACACTAATTTTTGGAGGAGTTTCTCTTCACAGAGAAGCCCCTAAAAACTAGTTTTCCATTATATTTCATTGGCTTTTCATGATCTCACGGGGCATTGACACGATGCCCGTGTCCATAAGTCTCTTCACTCCACTTTGATTACATAAGAAAAGCAGTCTTCTAGTTGTGTAGACATACAGACATCAATCTAACATCAAAAACATCAAATTTGATTTCCATTGATAAGAAAATTGCTGACTACAACCGGCTTTACATATGTTCCGAACAACAGAATCGTTGCATCTCATATAGTTGCTACAATCCTCCAACGGGTAGGAAATGAAATAGAGAAATGGAACGATTGCATCCAACCGATTTAGGTTGAGAAAGGTATCGGCTTTCTATCGGGCCATGATTCTATTTTCTCAAAGTACTTGACTGGAATAACACCATCAAAGCCTTCGGTCAAGATCACCTTGTTCTCTGAAATGTAAAACTTCATTCCCTCTGCAATGAAAATTACAAGAAATCATAGGTGCTTGGGTTCATGACAAATGTAAAAGAAAATTCTGAACTTCGATAATGAATGGTTTGTAAAACTATACCTTCTAAGGCTTTTTTAACATCGAGATAGATCAAAACATTAGCATTGCACCTCATACCTACAAGAATACAAATCAAACAAGTTATTACAGTAAGACGAAAAATGTGTCTTGGATTCAAACGAATAACTTTTGTATATTTTCAGAATCATTGCCACTATGGCTCATTAAGTCATGATAGTTATTACCAGTTAAAACACTAGAGAATGTGCCTACAAAAGAAGAGATCGTCGAAATTTGCAAACCAAGCAGCCGGGTGGTGAGTACAGAACGAACTTTTCTTTCACTTTTTACTAAAGAATACCGTGTGCACACAAATTAAAACCCTCTTGTGACAATTGTAGTAAAGATGCAAGTAGGGATCGTTCTAGACCGGGGATTAGGAGGGATTACTAAATCACTTGGACACTGACTCAAAAACGTAAAATAAAGTTTGAAACACTAAACTAGACTCAAAGAATGCAAAACTAACAATAAAAACACTCAAACAAATCAACAGACTCAAAGAATACAAAACGCTTATAAACACAAACTAAGACACTTTCTAACTAAATTGGACACTAAAGTAAAGGGGGATTGAGGTTTTGACGAAATTAAACTAAATGCAACGATTGTAATTTAAAGGCAGAATGTAAATATGAATGTGATGAAAATATGGATGAATGCTAGCTAGAAGGTTCTTCTCCACACATGTCACACTTGCATACAATTTGATTTTCAGTTGGTCTTTCGATAAATTATGAAACTCAACACCCCAAATTAACCGTGAATTGCACTAATTAACCCTCAGTTTTTCCACAAGTTATTAAGTTGGATGATTGCATACGACAACCCAAAACATTCCCTACAAGTTCCCTACATGAATTGCATAATAGAGATACAAGCAAGAATCATTAAGTTCTATGAAAAACATAAGCATTGACGAAGCATTCGTTACTATGAATTGCATGAAACTTATGCTAAGAATTCATTCAACGCGATCGTTTTCAAGCGATCTTCACTACTTGTGATTATAAGATTGTAACTATTAGGTGAAACTCCCTCATAATCTAGCATCATATTCATGCATGAAAACTAAGCGTGCACTCTCAATCAACATACCCAAATAAGTTATCAATCAAATAGATGAACAAATTGAATCCACAACTTATGAAATTCCAACCGAAAGTAATCAATTCATATTGCAAGCATAAACATGGTTTCGAATCACCCCCTAGCTAACTAGGGGGATTTAGCCTCTCATGTTCACAAAAAGAGAATTACAAATGAATTTAAACATAAAGCACAAAGGATTGATTACACCTAGAACGCCCAACGAATCCACGTGAATTGGTGCGCGTCGAAGCTCCTCTTTCCTCTTCTCCTTCTGCGGCAGATTGGTTGTGAATGATTTTTGGATGTGTTTCTGGTTTAGGGATGGTTTAATGGTGGTTTAATGGTGCGGCAAGGTTGTGAGGTGGTGTAGGAAGGTGTGGAAAGTGGCTGGGAAGGTGGAGGAAGCTGCGGCAGAGAAGAAAAACTGGGTGAAGGTGTTGCGGCTGGATGGGGAAAAATGGAATGTCTTGCGGCTATTTTGGAATGTTAGGTTTAGAGTGAATGGGGTGTAAAGGTTAATGGCTGAATAAAATAATGGAAAAATGGGATATGCGGCTGAATGTGTTAGGGTGAAAAATGGAATGCACCGCTTGGGAATTATGGTGAATGTTGATTATGGAATGCACGGCAGGTAAGGAAATAAAAATGGGATGGTGGCTTGCGGCTGCAAGGGTTTTTAGGTTATGGAATGCATGGCTTGGATGAATAATGGGAAAGAATTTGTGAATGAATAAATATATGGAATGGTGGCTCCGCTAAAAGACAAAGAAAAATGGGATTTGCGGCTAGGTTCAAAATCAAAGGATTAATGGCTGAATAATTATGGGATGCACGGCTTTGTTGTACAAATGTAGGGAAATGAATAATGGGATGGTGGATCTAGGGTGAAAATTAGCTATGGCCTTGATTTATTTTTGGTTTATTAAAATTAAGTTAAAAGCTTCCAAAACTAGGAAATAAAATCAGAAAATAAAAGGGATGGCTGCAAGGTATTGCTAGGGTTAGGTTAGGAGGGGAAATAGGGTTTAAGTGAATGACAATGGACCTAAATACCCCCCCTTGCACGGCAAGGGAAGGAAAGAAAGGCTTGGGCACGGCAAAAGGGTTGTGTTTGGGCTAGGGCCTTCGTTTTGTGTCCTAAAGCGCCTACAAGGACTTCAAAGTGGCTAGAAAATATGGACGTTTAAGATTAGGAAAGGTTACCAAAACAGGAAACTTTGGGTTAACTTTCCTAAAGTAGGAAACCTTGTTTGAGTAGGATTCTTCGTTTTGGTAAGAATTCATCGTTGGAGTAGGAATTCGTCGTTTCTTCACGTCTTCAACTCATTCATTCCTCTTTCGCTCCAAAAGGCTCCAATTTGCATCTTCTTGCACACTTTAGCCTTATAATCTGAAAATACACAAAAGTGGCCTTAAACACTAAAACAACTAAGTAAACACAACGTAAATGCACGAGAACAAGCTAATTAAGTCGCATGAATATGCTCCTATCAAATTCCCCCACACTTAACTTTTGCTAGTCCTCGAGCAAAACAAAACAACTGAAGTAAACAAAACACAACAAAACAAACAAAACATAACCTAAACCTTCCAACGTTTGCCTCAGGGATTTCCAATGAAACATGACATGTCAAAAATCATTACTCACATAGCTTTTAGTCTTCCTTCCCCTCGAGCACATACTTAATTATAGTCACCATTCACTAGTTCGCATTTAATCAATTAAAACACATTTTGAATGTAGTAACATGCCTTAGAGAATTCCCTCAATTCCTCACTAGTTATGCACTCAATTTTCACTCAGATTTTCTGACTACACACCTTACACTAGTTATATGTGAGAAGATTGATGTAAACATGAAAGACTAGTACTCACATACGTTATAACAAAGAAAGCAATTTCTGGAGTAATTAAACGTGTTTAGATACGATCTCATGAATGGAATGTTACTACTTAGATGCGAGAACCAGTGACACCATATGCTCATACCAAATTCAAACTCCACAATTGAAATGCACAACACTCAAGATAGAAGTCAAGGGTTGTAACAGGGCTTGGGGTATTGGCTAACAAGGAAAGGTAGGGAAAAACAAAAGTTCTTTAAGCAATAGCAAGTAAAGTAATGAAATTAAGACCTAGAATTCCCTTAGAATGCAGAAATCAACTTTTAGACAAACAGGGGAGATTTAAACAACTCTTGGGGCCTAATTCATTGTTCTGGGCCCTTACTTCAACAACCCCTACTTTTCAACTCTTTTTTTTTTTTTTTTTTTTTTTTTTTTTTCTTTTCTAACCGTGCCTATGGCACATAAACTCACATCCATCATTCTTCCCCCACACTTATTTCCTGCAACACATTAATCAAAAGGAATTCATTGCTTACTATGCTTCAAGAACAAGGGTACGGATGGTCCTAATCTAGGCTAGGTGAGGATGATATGGGTTAACAAAGAACATGGGCTAACATAGATCAATGGGGTTAAACTTAAACACAAAATGAATGAAGGGCACATGGTTGTTTGGCTTTGATGGTGGTCACTACACAACTTCATCTTGAATATGTGTTATGCAAATCAATGACATGCTTTGAATGAAATGGGCATGAGTTCTAGCATTTGGAACTAAGTGATAAAACGCCTTCTAAGTAGTAACCAAGCAAAGAATAATGAGATCATGCAACGACTTAGAAAACATTAATGCACAGATTTTAACTCTCCAAATAACGTTTAGGCTCAAGTCTCACAGGGATGTAGCGTTTGTTTAAGTTCCTTCCTTCAAGCATGTTACAAAAACTAATTTTTTTCTTTTGTGATTACATGTGAATTCGTAAACTATAACTACAACCAAGCATAAACCAGAGAGTATATCAAACGTTCATCCATGTTTGTAACTTTCTTTAACCGTCATGCAATTAAAAACCAAATCCTCATCATTGTGTTGGAAGGTGACCTACGACACAAACAAACACACAAAAACAACTCTTTTTGGGTTTTTAAAAACAATTTTTCAAATTTTTATGGTATTTTCGGATTTTTAAGTCAACACACACTAAAACACTCTAAAATAGCTTAAAAACACTTAAAAACAGCAAAGAACAAGTTTAAACATGTTAGGTGGTAATACCCTACGAATTTCATGCACAAAGTCTCAAAACAGAATGCTACCCCCCCCCCCACACTTAAACTAAACATTGTCCTCAATGTTTTAGACACAATAAAAAAAAAACATTACACAAAACATAAAGTAAGCAACAAAGGAAAGGGTTTAGGGACGCAAATCTGAGTGTGGAGCGATTCCCAAGTTCTTCCTTTGTTGATTGCATGGGTTGCCTCCCACGAAGCGCTTGCTTTAACGTCTTCCAGCCGGACGAAACCTTCTTTTAATCTCCACTAGGGCTCACGGCATAGAATGGATCCTTGAATGGAAGGTGATACTTGAAGTGAACCGGCATTGGTTTGAATTCTAGTGTAGGTGCCTGATTCATCAAAATCAGCCAGTTAGTATAAAATGTAATGGAATTTGGAGAAGATGACTTACTTGTTTTGTCCGACAAGAACTCAATGACAAACACCACTCCTTTGACAGTTTCAGGGATATTGGACTTGGCCAGATTGCATGTGATGGTTGTGACTTGTCCAATGTCATCAAATTCAACTTCTTTGGATTTTGTGGTTTCAAATATGTCCTCTTTGATGCCTTGTACATCTTCTCCCGCCACTACCTTCTCTTGAATCATTCTTCTTGGTGTACAAAGTCCTTTGAAGAATTCAACACCATCTAAAACTTGCTGTGTTGCACCAAGAATTGGAATAGCATTATGCACCTTTGGGAAGGCTTCCACGATGTCCTTTTTACTCTCTTCTTGGTTGGGAATCAAAAACCTGCTAGGAAAATGGACATTGGGTGGAATAACATCAGAATAACATGGAATTGGGACGTCCTTACTTGTGGTGGGTGGTTTAGAGGGCTTAGGGGGCTGCGGCAAAGGTTGTTCTACCCTTGCCGTGTGCATGTCTTCTTCCTCCTCCTCAATTAGCAGCTCCTCATCCACTTCTTGGTCACGAAATTGTCGTACGAATTCCGCTATCTGCCCAATTTGCTTTTCCAAGTGGTTCAACCTTTTGTCTCGATTTTGCATTGCTTTCTTTTGATTTTCTTGCCCCTGAGACAAATTGGTGAGTAACTTAATAAGCATATCATTATACAAAGACGCACCTGAATTTGTTTGGACAGGTTGTATATGAGGTTGTGGTGGCTGCATAGGGCTTGA